AGGTCTGCGACACTGTGCAGGCCTCCACTGAGGCCAGGGCACGCCGCTGGCGTGATCGCTGGACCAGCAAGCCCGACCGCGAGTCTGCCTTGCGCGAGGCGATGAGCGAGCTGCGGACCCTGGCCCGCGAGGCGTTGCCAGAAAGGCCCGACCACTCGAAAGACGACGTGGTGAACGCCATCAGGACTTCCCCCGGGGCTACGGGCAAGGGCGCCGACCAGTGGACGCCTGGCCACCTCCTCGCGGTCTCCGACCAGGGGCAGGAGGCCTTCGCCACCCTGCTCAACATGGTGGAGCGAGCTCTGGCGTGGCCGCACCAGCTCCTCCACAATGGGTACGTCCTCCTACCGAAGGGAGCCAAGCAGGTGGTCGGTAACGAGAGGGATATCGGCCTCCTCCCCTTGCCCGTGCGCATCTGGGGCCGCATGACCAAGGCCGCCATGACGCAGTGGTGCGACAAGCGTGCTGGGCACTGGGATGCTGCGGTGCGCGGGAGCTCCGCACTACAGGCTGCGTTGCTCACCGTGGTGCTTGACGAGACCAGAGCGCACGTGGGCGTGGCCGAGCAGAGCAATTGCTTGATGGACGTGGAGTAGTTCTACGACCACATCGACCTGGCCATGATGATCCACAAGGGCATCTCCCTCGAGGCGCCGCCCGTCGAGCTCTACCTGTGCTGCCTCACGTGCCTGGCGCCGCGTGTGGTCAAGTCTCACGGGGCATGCAGTTCGACCATCGTCCCCAACTGCTCAATCCTCCCAGGCCGCGGGAAGGCCAACCACTGGGCAAGAGCCTTCCTCTACCACCTGTTGGAAGCAGCTCGCGCGATATCACCCGTGGCAGGGGTGAGGCAGTATGTTGACGATGTGCACAGCCGTATCGAGGGCGCGGCCGAGGAGGTCCTCGACCATGCCAAGGACGTCGCGGTCACCCTAGCGCAGGGCTGCCTCGACCTCGGCCTGCGGGCGTCGCCCAAGTCGATCCTGGTGATGACGAGGCCCAGGGGCGAGAAGGAAGTGCTGACCCACGTGTACCAGGAGACTGGCATTCGCGTGCAGAGGGCGTCCACGGCTAAGGACCTCGGCATCGACTGCACCATGGGCTCCAGGCGAAGCAACAAGACGGCCAGGACGCGGATGACGGCAGCGAGGGCGAGGGCCACGCGAGCTTGTCTATTCCGCAGGTTGGGTCGCGGCAGCAAGAGGACCAATGGGGTCATGCTGCGCAACGCCAACATCAGGGCAAAGTACCAGTTCGCCGACCCGATCATTGGAGCGCCTCCTACCACGACAACGCGGCGACGGGCACAGGCTGCGGACCTCACGGGCCACACGGTGGGGGGACGCTGCACCTCTACCACCCTCCTGCTGCGCTACCAGGACGACGAGCCTAAGATGGCGGCCTTGGCACAGCAGGTGAAGGAGTGGTTCTATTTCTGGGCGCGCCACTCGGAGCTGCGAGACCGAGTTCGACTTGGATGGCGGGCGGCACTCAAGAGACTCCTGTACTTGCGACCTCGTGCTCGGTGGAAGTGCGTCACGGGTCCCATGGGCGCGATCATCTTGGCACTGCGTGACATCGGCTGGACACCTCGGGCGCCTGACGTCTGGATCGACGACGAGGGCTCCGGGTGGCGGCGCCTCGGCAACGAGGGCGACAGCGTGCAGGAATTGGTGAAGGCGATCAAGAGCACCGTCACGCGCCAGCTGTGGCGCCAGGCAGGGGGGCACCCCCTCGGAGCGAGCCTCGGCGACGGCGGCGACCTCCACATGCTGCGGGTCAACCTGGGGAGGATGCGCCGCCAGGAGCGCCACAAGGAGGCTGGCGCTCTGGAGGCTGGAGCGCTGGCAGGCATCTGGACGGGGGCAAGGGCGCAGGCGGCAGGTTACCAGTGCTCCGACGAATGCGAGCGCTGCGGCGAGGGCAAGGACACCATCGAGCACAGGCTGTACTTCTGCGAGGCCACCTGCGAGATGGGGGACCCCTGGATCGTGCGCACTGAGGGCCTCCGCCAGCATGCGATAAGATATTTGCTGGAACATCGTCACGTTGCATACTGGACCAGGGGGATAGTTCCCCCAGAATGGGTTGCCGTGCCGCCGCCGCCCGCCTGGAACTCTGGAGAGGGGTTGGGCGTTTGGGCAACCGGCGCCCTCCCCCTGATCTTCGACTCCTCTTCGAGCGGCGTCCTTCCCTCCTCCACTCCTGCCCTCGCGAATGCAGTCTCATTCAATGTAGGAACAGGCGAATGCCCCATCCGCGCACGTCTGGCATTCCTGGACGGGTCGGCCACTTCCAGCGATGCCCGTGTTTGTCGTGTGGGGTGGGGTGTCTACTTCGCGAGTGAGTGGGCGGAGCTGGAAGCGGACGACGGCGAGTTTTCTGGATTCTTCGGGGCCGTCGACGGGGACCAGGCGGTCCCCGTCGCGGAGCTGGCTGCCCTCTGGAGGGCGCTGCAGCTCTCCACGGGGGACCTGGACATGTTCACCGATTGTCAGCTGGTCTTTAACGGCTGGGTCCAAGGGAATGCCCAATATCCCAAGGGATGCCACGCCAAATGGTGGGCCCGAATTCGGTCGGCCCTCGAACAGCGGGGGGGCCAGAATGTCCACCTGCACAAAATCTTCTCGCACCTGGATGCAGATTCCCACGTGCGCGCTGGCCAGGATCCTCGATGCTCCCGTGGCAATGAGCTCGCGGACGCCCTGGCCCAGCGGGGGGCCGAGAATGCCGCCTCCCCAATTCGAGCCCATGTCAAGGCCCTACAGGTGGCCGGCGCTCGTGCGACCCTCGTACACCAGCGCATCGGTGCGGTCTTGGCCCCGATTTGTGCGGAGGTCGAACGGGGGCTCGCGCGAATCGGCTCGGCGGGGCGGACGGTTCGGTCGGATCCACTGCGGGCCTGGGGCGAATTGAGGAGCTCGAGGCCCGTTCGGGGCATGCTCTGTCCCGCCTGAGCACTGGTAGGTGGGCCTGTAGCAAATGCCGACAAACACCGGGGCGCCTCTCGTTTGCCGATTGGCTCCAGTGCACTGCGTGTCGCGGGGATGTATGAAAGAGGGGCTTGAGCGAGCAGGGCCACCACGTCCACGCCCCCCCCCACCTGTATCCGAGAGTTGAAGGTGGGAGCCCGCAGTGTGCACCCCTCCCACTCTATTGCTATGCAGAATGGTCTGGCCTGGTGCTGGAGGTGCGCCAGGTACGCCCCCATTGTCGCTGGGGGGGGGGGCGTCTCTGTAAACTGGCCCAGGAGTGCCCCCCAGGAGCGCACCCACTCTGGCCAGACTATGATCAACCGTCTCCGTCGCGGCCTCACCCCGAAGGCGGGGATGGCGTGGCCCATGCCCCCTGTGGGGGGTGGCGGATCAGCTCCCACGCCAGTGGTCGGCAGCTCGGCCAAGGATTTTGGGAGGAGGACCGACGGGAGTGTAGGCGGCCTCTCAAAGCCCCCCCCCGTCGACGTAGATCATAATCTCTTCAGATTACCATTAATCTGCACGTGGGGGGGCGCAGCACTGCTCCGACCCCCTCTTGGTCGAGCTTCCCGAGCTTCCCTGTTCCCCCCCCTCGCAATTATTCAATATGAGTACTACTCTCCCTCTTCCGTTGATGACGGTTTGATTGTGGCCGACCCCCCCCCGCGTATTATTTTTTACACGCAGGTTTCCCCCCCCGGAGTTGGGTTTTCGTTTGCAGTTTCTCAAAATGCTGCTCTCGCTCAGGCGCCGGCCTCATTTTCGGGCCCCGTTCGTTCCGAATCGTGTTCCCTCTGCAGCGCTGGCCTCATTTCCGTGCTTCCGCTCGTTCCGAATCGTGCTCCCGCTGCAGCGCTGGCCTCATTTCCGCGCTTCCGCTCGTTTCGACTCGTGCTCCCGCTGCAGCGCTGGCGCCATTTCCCATGCCACGCCACGGCATGCAATGCAATGCTAGGTTGATGCTGCGCTTTGCGGTGCTCTTTTGCGCCATGCCATGCCGTGTTCTACAATGCATCGCGTACCGTTTTGGGATCATTGCCCTGTTCGGCATCCGACTGAGCGAGAAGAGAGGGGATCTGCGCCATGGTAAGGGATGGGAGGGAAGGGTAGGATGTCAGATATGACGCGGGCGCACCTAGCTTGTCCCACCCCTCTCTCTCCTGTCCCCCCCATATCCTGTCCCTCCCCCCCTTCTCTCCTGTCCCCCCCCCTCTCTCCTCCCCCCCCCTCTTTCCTGTCGCCCCCCTTTCCGATCTCTTTCCCCCCCCCTCTCCCTCACTCCTGTCCCCCCTTTCCCCCCTTATATCCTGTCTAACCCCCCCTTCTCCCCCTCCTCTCTCCTGTCCCCCCCCCCCTCCTCTCTCTTGTCCCCCCCCTCTTTCCTGTCGCCCCTCCCCCTCTTTCCTTTTCCCTCCCTTCCCATCCCCCCCTTTCCTGTCCAGGGCGCAGCGCAGCGGGGGGGTGGAACTGGGGGAAAGAGAAGGTGCAGAGGCGGGGGGGGCGGGGGCGGAGAGGAAATTGCAGGGGAAAAGGAGGGGTACAGGAAGAGAAAGGGGGGCGCTGGAGAGGGAAGTGCAGGGGGGGGGGACGGCCCCAGCATTGGGGAGGCCTTGCGTGTCAATTCTTTCGTCGTTTGCGTCCCCCTCCCTTGAAGAGCGAAGCTTGAGCGAGTTCAGGCCCACGCGTTCAGAAACTCAAACGCCGGATCGGCGGATTTACCCTCGACTGAATGAGCGGCGCCCTGGCGCCCATTCCCAGCCCCGCGCGCGGCCGCCCTCACGGGCGAACTGGGAGTCGTCTCGCTTCGCCTCGCGCCTCTGCATGTGGTCGGATCCTTCGCCACGGCCATGTTTCCAATCCTTGGCCCCGGAGCTCTCGGCCCCTTCCCCGGGGACAGGTTTTCGTTTCCGATCCGTGTTGTGATGACCCCGGAGGCCGAAACCGAGGAGGAAAGCCAGGATTACAGCGTTCTCGGAGATCTGAGCTGGTGTCTTCTGTACGTCCTCTTTGCCTCGGGCTGCCGAGGCGATGCCGCGGAGCAGCCGCCTCCGCCGTCGCAGGAGCCGCTGGGGAGGCAGCTCACGGGAGATATGACGCCGTCGAAGGCCCGTGCTGCCGTCGGGTTGCTCCCGCACTCTGTGCCGCTCCCGCGGGCGCCACGCTCGGAGTTTCCAGGGGCAGCTCTTGGGAACGGTAGGCTCAGGGTGGGCCTCTGGAGGTTCGAGGTTCGAGGTTTTTGGAGTCTTCGTGGGTTCTCGTCTTAAGTCGGGCGTGTCCCTCTACAGGAGGAATGTTCAAAAATGGGCAACAAATAGTATGGAGACGATGTTTCTACCGTTTGTTGACTATGTTTGAGTATGTTTTGTGTGTGTTTCATTTGTCGTCCAAAACTCTACCTGTAGGAGGACATGCCTGACCTAATTGTCGTCGCGCTTCCAGTTTCGGGAATTCCACCCGGCAGCTATGCCTCGCCGAGAGCGTTCCAGGGATGCCCAGATCGCCGCATCAACCCCAAAGTGTTAGGTCGGACGTGTCCTCCTACAGGCGGATTTGGGACGGAAATTCAAGATAGTCAAAACTGATTCAAACATAGTCGAAAATAGCCAACAAATCGTCCCCAGGCTATTTTTTTGATTTTTTGTTGAATTGTCCTTTGTAGAGGGACACGCCCGACTTAACCAAAGTGCACGTTGATCGCCACCAGGGATCCGATGGCCCACCCCGCCCAGGCACGGGCGGATTTGCTGTCGGGGGCTTGTTGCCGAGGTATCGGTGATGTATATCCGATTCCAGGTCGATGCGCCCCCCCCCTTGAGCTGGTCCCCCCCCCTGACGTTCCCCCTCGCACTTCCGCGGGCGACATGCACGGAGCTGGTCGTGAGGCCCCGAGCGGGAGGTTCGTTGCACGTTCAGCTTCTGTTCGGAGGTCCTTCAGCGTTGGTGCGCGGTGGGGTAGAAGGCCAAACAGGTATGCACATCTAATTTTCGGAGGCCCGCGGGGAGTTCTCTGGTCGGATCTGGGGTCCCCCTCTCCCCGCGACAGTTAGCGGCCCCTCCAGCGCCACCCTTGGCGCGCTCCGCGCGCCAAGCGAAGCGGTGTGGGGAGGGCGTCCAGCGCCGACCCCAGAAGTCCGCGCGGGTCTCCGAAAGGTGTCGCTCATGGTTTGGCAATCATGTTGTCTCAGATCTGACGCGGGTTTCTGATGTTTGCAGGTCGGTATTGCGATCGTGCTTCTGGCACTCGGGGAGCTCAAGGTTGCGCGCCTGTCCCTGCTTGTGACCGCGACCGTCGTGGCTTGCGCAGCCCACGACTGATCCGCTGCCCCCCGCGTTGCACGTGCTCTTGAGAGAGATTGGCGTGCCTACAGTTTTACATTGTAGCGTCATCGTAGTTACAGTGACGAGGGAGCCAGAGAGATTCAGATTTTTGGGCAAGCGGTTTTCTCTGAGCTGTCGCCACGAAGGTGTGGCAGCAAATTGTCGAATATGACATGCATATGTCTAGCAAGCTTCGGCGTAAGTGTTAGTGCTTCCGGCTTTCGTTACGCCTAACCTAGTTGCGATGGTGTCACTTTTCAAGCATTCCCAGGGCATTCCTTGACCCTTCGTGGATCCCACCAGCGCATCCAGAAACGATGCACATGCGAGTTGCCTTGATCAGGGAAGTGTAGCAGCATGAAGTGGAACAGAAGGAGGGGGAAACAGTCAGTCTGAAGATCGGGATCAGACTGAGCAGACCCAGGAGGACAAGAAGGAGGATGACGAGTATCAGCATGAGGAGGAGGAGGAGGAGGAGGAGGAAGAGGATACCCAGGGCGAGCCGAAGGAAGAAGCATTTGCAGGCACACGTTTCCCGTTCAACTCATGGCGGGCTCGAGGTGGGAGGAGGAGGAGGGAGAGCCAGGGGGAGGAGGACGAGGAAGAGGAGGAGGAGGAGGAGGAGGAGGAGGAGGAGGAGATGATTGTTGTGAAAGAGAGAAGGTGAAATCGACGACGACGATGTGCCAACTACAAAGTTTTCGCCCTGGACCGCGCCGACACCCGCGCGCAAGCTGCCCGCGCAAGGGTCGCGGGAAGAGCGCCGCGTTCGCCCCCTCCGCCGTGCGCTGCGCTAACGGCCCAAGGCTCAGAGGATCAAGAGGTCACGAGAATAATACGTTCCAAGATTTCCAGGGGTTCCCAAGATTTCTTGATGCTCCCCACGGGCTGCAGGACCGAAGGTTGCTGGATATCCTTGGAATTCCTGGGTCGCATCCTGAGCCACATCCCATCATATGTGGTGAGCCAATCCCGAATCTTCCGAGCGGTAAGTTGTGTCGTTTGGGGTTGTTGTGTCATCCGAGGTGGCCCCACCCGCTTAACACGTTGTACAACAGCGAGCCAGGCATCGATTGCATAGATCAGTTCATTGTTCCCATGTCGTAGTACTACGAATTCTATTATGTGACGTCACCGAACTCGAGCTAAACGGTGTTTTGGCGAAGTCGCGAGCCGCTTCCGTTTTGATTTCGCTTCGCAGCAAAGGCAGAACGAGGACATAATGAAGGAACGCGAAAACAACACGCGACACGAGAAACACTGCTGAGCTCGAGCCTCGTGCCATCCTCCCCCGTCCCAACACCTGGCATCGCTCGGACGCGTGCACCCTGCCATCGGCGAGGAGCACCCTGGATCCTCGAGCAACGGAAAGAAAAGAGCACGCACGACGCCGAAGCACGCACGGGGAGCAAGTGGACAACTTAGCGCCGGCAAGACCAGGGCCGCCGCGCCCCTCGTGCGCGAGCCCGCCCGCTCCCCCCGCCCGCCGCTGCCCGCGGCGCGGCTCGCGGCCGCCCCTCCTCGGCCGCACCCCCCCCCCCCGAGCGCGCGCGAGCGGCGCCCTCCCGGCGAGGCCGAGGCCCGCCGCGTCTCCTTCCACGCGGCCCCCGCGGACGCGGCCGCCGCGGCCCCCGGCGGGGAGGACGCGGCGGAGGCACGCCCGGCGCCCGCCGTCCCCCCCCCCCCCCGGGGGAGGAGCGGGGTTCGCTCTGCGCGGCACGACAGCGACGGAGGCGCGAATGGAGTAGGTTCGCTCCTCCTCTCTCCTCCTCCTCCTCCTCCTCCTCCTCCTCCTCCTCCTCCTCCTCCTCCTCCTCCTCCTCCTCCCTAAGGTGGCTCCGCAGCGAGGCCCCGCGCGTGCCGTTTGCCCCGCGGCGGGCGCACGCGGGCGGGCCCGCGCCATCGGGGCCCCCAGCGCCGCCAGGCGGCGCGTCCAGCGAGGAGGAGGCGGCGGCGGCGCCGACAGGACGGCGACGCGCGAGCGCTCGCCCGCCTGGCACAGGCGAGAGCGCCGCGAGCGTGCCCAGGCGCGCCGCGACCTCAGGGCGAGGCTACAGTTCCAGCTGCTGAGCCAGCACCACGGCAGCACGCCCCCGACGTCGGCCAGCAGCATGGGACGCTCTGCCGACTACACCGTATGCAAGTCCTGCGGACAGTGGTGGTGGAACTCGAAGCTGGAGGGCATGAACTACCGCTGCGGGACCTGCGACAAGATGCTTCCCAAGCCGAAGAGCCCCAAGGGCCACGCGGCGGAGGCGGCGACCAGAGGAGGCGGCGGCAGCAGCGGCAGCGCGGGAGGCGGCAAGGCCAGCGGCAAGGGCAAAGGGCCCGAGCAGCTGGCGCAGGCGCTGCAGCTCATCACCGCCTCCCTCGGCCAGCTGCAGATCGAGGGCAGTGAGACGATCACCAAGCAGATCCAGGTGGCCACAACGGCACTGCAGTCGGCCAAGACGACGGCCCCGCAGAAGCCGAGAGCCGAGAGGATGGCAGCCGCAGCACGATCACTGCAGACAGCCCAGCGGCAGTACTCGCAGGCGTTCGCGGCGAAGCAGAAAGCAGAGGAGGAGGCGCGCAAGGCGCGCGAGCTGCTGGAGGAGAGGGCCAGCGCAGTCCTGCAGGCCGAAGCGGAGTGCGATGCGATCCACCAGGAAGGAAAGCAGGCCCCCACGGCTGGCATCATCGAGCAGCTGGTGACGGGACAGCTCGATGAGCTAACAGGTGGACAGCTGGCGGAGGACATCAGCAAGGAGTTCGCGCTGGACGACGACGACTTGGATGAAGAAGCCAGGAAGCAAGTCGAGGAGGCCAAGGCACAGGTCGTCAAGCAGATGCAAGACAATGCCAAGCAGTTCCAGGGCCACCTGCGAGAGCACCTGGCGAAAGCCAAAGCAGCCGCGATCGAGAAGCGGCAGGTGATCAAGCAGGAGGCCAAGAAGAGGAAGCTCGCCACAGGTGAACCTGCAGCGCCAGGCCCGAGGCCCCCAGAGGCAGCGCCCCCAGCGGCTGCGGCGGCGGCACCAGATGCCACAGGCCCCGCCCAGGGCGCAGCCGAGGAGGCTTTCCTGGCCAGCAGGCGTGCGGCGGCGGCGCAGAGTGCGACGGGGGCCACAAGCCCCGCGACGCACTAGGGGCGCGCGCGAGGGCGGCGGCGGCATCACGTCGGCGACGCCGCAGCCCACGAGCGCACCCTCTTCTGCGCCAACATCTCGACCTGGGGACCCACAGCACGGCTGTGGCTGCTGCAGCAGGGCATCGGAGGCAACGGCTTCGACATGCTGGCGCTGCAAGAGATGCACGTACCGCACTCTCAGTTAGGACCTTAGCAAAATGGGGTTCAGGGCTACCTGCACCGCGGCGAGAGCTAGTACGCGATCGGAGAAAGGCAGCTGTGGGGGCACGGCAGTCATCTCCAAGGGGCACTTGCGCGTCACCAGCTTCAGACACTTGGCCAGAGCTCGGCAGGTCTCGAATGCCACGGCTGACATTCGACGAGGCGCCGACCGAGCAGGAGGCTTCGACATGTGCGACTGGACACCAGTCACCTGGCACCTGAAGGGCACTACGCTCACCGTCGTCAGCCTCTACCTGGACTGCAACAGGTCGCTGACCGACGGCATCAACAGCCGCAAGCTCACCGCGCTGGCCGCGTTCCTCAAGACGCTGCAAGGGGCGTGGGTGGTGTGCGGCGACTTCAACACAGACCCGAAGACGTTCTGGGCGACGGGCTGGCCAAAGGCGATGGGCGCGAGCGCCATCATCTCATTGCCTGAGGACCAGCACACCTGCTTCCTCGCGGAGCAGGAGCCCTCCCACATCGACTTCGCGATGACGAACGACGCAGGCAGCAAGCTGATCACAGGAGTCGAAGGCGTCTACGACGTACCATGGAAGCCACATATCGGACTGAAGTTCACAATTCGTGGACAGGGACTTGCGACGCAGTGTAGGACGATCAACCTGCCGAAGGCGTTCCCGCACCCACCGCGGAAGGGCAAGGCGCCCAACCCGCAGAGCAAGAGAACTAAGAGACGCCTGCAGGCCAAGGCCAAAGAGGAGGCCGAGGCCACCGCTGCTGGATCCCAGACCATGGCGATCGGCGGCAAGAACGTGGAGGAGCTGGACGACGAGCGCTGGGAGGCACTCTCCCCAGTCGCAGGCTGGGCCAGCTTCCCGAACACCGTGCGCGACGAGGTCGGCCAGGGCACGGCGCCCAGGCCCCCGTCTCCACCTCGCCCCCCCTGCTCCGTCGGCCCAGTCCCTCTGGGCGGGCACGGGGGACCAGGCAGAGACGGCGCAGAGGCCCACGTGCAAGAGGAGTACAGGCACCACATGGACGACGATGAGGTCGACGTGTTCGCCGACCTGGACCCCGAGGACGAGGCCGAGGCAATCAGGATGTGCGGCGAGTTCGGCCAGGACCTGGAGCCGAGCTGCATGCCGCCAGTGAGTCAGAACGCGTCAAATCCCACGACGGTGCTCCTCGAGCCGTACGTGGGTTCACCGTCGCCTGTAAGTTTTGCAATTTCTGGCGCATGCATCTACGACCCCACCCGGCGTCAGATCGCAAGTCCCACATCGGCGCTCCTCGAACCGATGGTGGGCACTGGCAGTCAGAACGCACGCCACAGCTTCGACACCGTCGGGCGTCAGAATGCAAGACCCCCCTCGGTGCTCCTCGAGCCGACGGGGGGCTCAGCGTCGCCACAGAGCCACACCAACATCGACGGGAGTCAGAGCGCAAATCCCACCACGGCACCGCCGTCGGTGGGTTCAACGTCGCCACGGCTCGAAACTAGAGGAGAAGACACGACCGAGATGGGAGAGCTCTGGGAAATGATGGAGCTGGCTGCAGAGGCACCCGCGGAGAAAGAGGCCCCAGAGTACATCACCAAGTGCGCCGCGTACCAAGCGACCACGCAAGCCTCCAGGGACCTCAGCCTGAGCTTCTCCTCCATCATGAACACGATGGAGCACTTCTACTGCATGGCGTACCGCATCGACCCCCTTGACCGTGCGAAGTACTGCGGCAGAGGCGACCCGAGAACATTCACCATGCGCAAAGGCAAAGAGAAGCACGAGAGGAGAGAGCGGCATGCAAACCGCAGAGCTGACTGGTGGAGCAGAGCCGAGAACACCCTGTCCTTGCTGGCGAGGCTGCGCAAGAAGAACAGGGACGTGAGGCAGCAGCTGCACCTAGAGGCCGCAGGCAGACACCTCGCCTACGACGGCCTCCCGAACACCAGCGACCAGGCATCGGACACGGCGAAGCTACACCGAGAGATTTGGAGAGAGAGGCTGACAGACTTAAGCAAGGTCGACACAGACGTAATCCTTGGCATGGCGCAGCAGGCAGAGCAGGAGAAGCGGCTCGCACTCAAGAGGGACCTCCAAGAGAATTCGCGGGCCTTCGCACAGTGGCTGGCGCGGGCTGAGAAGGACGTCGGCGTGCTGCACCGCATCACGAAGCCACCGCCCAGGCGAGAGGAGGAGGTTGTTACTCATGAAGGGGTACTGGACTGCCCCACCAAGATAGTCGACGAGAAAGCGAAGGCGTTCCAGGACATCTGGAAGTGCGACCGACTCAAGCACGAGCAGCACACCGAAGTTCTACAGCAACTACGGGAGCGCGCACGTGCAGAGGCGGCCCCAGAATGGACGCTCGAGGACCTAGACGAGGCCCTCAGAGGAGAGCCCGACAAGGGCAAGGGCATTGACATGCTGGTGTGATCCGACATCCGCAGGCTGCCGCCCGAAGGCCGCCAGAGGATCGTCGAGTTCTTCAACTCATGCGAGCAGGCGCTCGCATGGCCGTGGCAGCTGCTGTGCGAGATCGTGATGCTCACGCCCAAGCCAGCCAAGGGCGATAGGGCCCTCGCCCTGCTGCCGCAGATGGTGCGCTGCTGGGAGTTGCTCCACAGGCCCGCGGTAAGGCGCTGGGCCAAGCAGCAAGAGAGAGAGTGGGACGCCGCCGTGGCGGGCAACAGCTGCCTGCGCGAGGCGATGAGGAGAGTCATCAGCGACGAGTGCTGCGACGCGCTCCAGCTGTTCCACGGCAACCTGCTCGCGGACATCGAGAAGTTCTACGACAGCCTTCAGCTCGACTGCGTGATCGAGGCGGGCCTGAGGATGGACTTCCGCCCCCGCCTGCTGACGATGATGCTGCTGCAGCACTCAGCCACGAGGGTGCTGCGGTGGAAAGGTGCCTTCTCGACACCTACCTGGGCTGACAGGTCGCTGCTGGCAGGCTCGAGGCACTCCAACAACCTGGCCAAGACGGTGGTCTACTCCGTCATTGGCAGGATGCTGGAGAACTCACAGGCGCTGCCCAAGCCGCTGCCGAGGGCCTGGTTCGACGACATCAGCATCCGCATCCTGGGCAGCGCAGAGGCAGTCGAGCAGGAACTGACGGCGGTCACGGTGGGGCTACGCGACGGTCTACGTGCACAGGGACTCTCGCTCGCGGACAAGACCGTCATCTTCAGCACCAACTACCGCACCACCAAGAGAGTACAGCAGGCGCTGCACAAGGTGGACCTACCCGTCCAGGCCGTCACTGAGGGCCGCGACCTGGGAATTGACAGAGGCGCAAGAGGCACGCTGAAAAGGGGCACCCACAGAAAGAGGACGAAGCAAGCCTTCACGCGCTGCGGCCAT